GTGTGTGTGTGTGTGTGTGTGTGTGTGTGTGTGTGTGTGTGTGTGTGCATGTATGTGTTAAAATTGTACTTAATCAACAGCTGTTACTTAATCTATATTTGTAAAAGATCTAAAGTCTTCATGGAATGAGTACGGATATCAGAGGATACATCATGTAAAAAGTATTACTATATTACTACATGCATTCGAAATATGCGGTATAGTAGAAATAATACTAATACAATCTAATAATACAATCTATACAATTTTCTATAAAATTTATATATATTTAATATGTTAAATACAATTGGTAATAATATTTACTTTTAATTACCGTTATAGTATATGTATATTTTACTTTGCATATTAGTAAGTGATCCTGAAAAAATGATGCGTTTTTATATGGATATATTATTATATAATTATTAGGTTTAATATTTATAAATGTAAATGTCAATAAACCACAAGGTATTTTTTATCGAGGTTATAGGCTCCCATATCAATTATTTGTAATTTTTATTTTTTGTTGGAAAATGCAATTTAATATCACAGCATGGTAACCATTTACACGTAAATGCATACATACGTTAGTAAATTGTTATAAAATTTTATTACTATGCATTAATATATTTGATTGTTTTTCCAGTAAAAAACTTCATAGAAAATCCGTTTAGATTTTGATCAAAATAATTAATTTGCAAAGGTAGTCATTAACTAATTAATTTATTTTCTATTTAATATTTTCTTTTTAACTTGACTAGTTTAATTGGCAGTTGAAATAACTTAACTTTTCACAACTAATTTATAAAGGATCTATCAAGTTAAAAAAATGTTGACATTTTTTCGTTTATACGTAAATATTAATATAAAAATTAAATAATAACATAAAGTAAAATGGTCGCATACACTGTACATTAGATGTCATTAGATTACATTTTGTAGGTTGGGGGCCCACCTTTGGGTATTAGGTTTTGGCCGTGGATACAGAATATTATATATAATACAATGTCATAGTATTTTTCAAACACTTCGGCGCCACTGCTATATATTATCAAGTTCAAAAAAAATGTTTATTATAATTTTTGAAATTAGATCTTTCTAAAAAACACAGTCACTTTTTATGTGATATACAAACTAATTAAAAAAAGTAGGTTAACTTTTTTGAAACTGAGTTAAGTTAAAATTTTTTTCCTTATTAACTTTTAACTTATCAATCGTATGTTATCTTAACTCAAGTTATTTCAATTATTTTCATTTACTTGCCTATATTTGCTAATTTGTATTGCAGGTTTTCGATGATATATTTTTATTTTCCGAAATATCATCGAATATTTTCGATAAATATATTTATGATATTATTATGATATATTATCAATTCACAAAAAATGTAATGTTGCGCTGACTTAGTTCATTATAAAAACAATTTCTCCAATATCAAATGCGATCAATTTCATTCACAATGCATTTTTATTAATTATTTAAATTGAACAAGTAATTTTATGTGTTAGGTTAAATCTAAAACATATACATCTATAGCTTGAAAATTATAAATTCAACTATTTTACCTAAGTGAAAACATAAAGTATTTCACCTGGTCAATTAATTTTTAATTTAATTAATATTTTATAATTTGTCATTGCTTTCAAATGTATTCAATTGTATCAATAATGCCGAAAATCGTAAGTAAAGAATGAAAAGCTATGGGATAGAAAAAGGTATACCATACAGAAATTGCGCTAATCAATATTCTAATGTAATCATTTGTTATGGACAATTGCGCCGATCGATTCACGTGTATAATAACTATTACAATTGATTTTCAAAATTACAGATTAGCAGTATTTTTACATATAGTAAATTAGTAATTTACAAATATGTTTGGTGACTTCTAAACATTTTTATTCTTCAATCGTTGTCATTACATAAAGCGTTAATGAGTTCTGGCTAAAGACGATGCAAACATACACATGTTGAATATATTATACAGGCACTCTCGTTGCATGGTTACCAAATACATGATGTTTATGTTAAATCATATAAGTATAATTTTTTGAAATAGATTTTAGTATAATATATTTGATTAGTTTTTGATTAGATCTTAAAAATTTATTTTATTTGCTTGATATACAATATAAGTTAGTATATATGCCAATAATGGAAACGGCCACTGTTTTGAAGCAAAACGAAACATCAGAATACGATTCGGTGTTGACAGTGCATTTCAAAAACACAATCGGTAAGGGTTCGTTCGGCCAAGTCAAATATTGTGTGGCCAAAATAAAGAATCATCTTGTCGGTTTCGCGGTGAAAATCCTTAGAGAACGATCGGCCGTGTATCAAGATAACAGATGGCTGATCGATAATGAAGTTTCCGTTGCGACTAGAGTCCAACATCCAAACCTAATAACTTTTTTTTTTTAACGTCAAATACCACCGTTCCGTCTACATATACATGGAATACTGCAAGTAAATACCGTAATTTATTCGTCAAATTATATAATATAGGTACATGTAGTAAATTAATAGCGATCATCGGATTAAAAATTACCTGCTTGAATGAAATTTCTTCAAAATGTAGTTTTTTTTTTTTACACTAATTCCAATAAGTTGTCTTTAAAACATATTACAATAGTACCTATATTGACTGAATATAAGTTGTACTCAAAAATTTACTGCACTAAAATGCGTTAAGTTAGATTTTTCACTTTCGCGAAATTTATATAAAAATCGTTACTTTCAATCAAACGCCTACGATTTACTTGATATACCGGAACACGAATAGTAGCGGCTCGTAGTAAATATTCTGGGGAGACTTAAATTATTTAACATAAACTCCATACAGTAACGAATAAGAATATTATTTATACTTAATACTTTTGACTTAATTTAATACTAATTTTTTTTATATACTAATTCAATTCTGCAATCTTTTTTATCTGCGAACCCGCAGATAAACGCAGATGATGAAGTACAGCTACTAACGACGGCGCAGTGCCACGAAAATTATTGTCGTGAACAGGTTCAATTTATTCGGATAGTTTAAAGCTGTACACATTTATTTTTATATATGTTTAAATTGTATACGAATTCAAAGATATAATTTGTCAGAAAAATAAGATGATATTACGAAAAAAAAAAATCTATAATTTAAATAAACACAAATTTTATTATGACAACCACTTTTTGTGTTTTGTTTCCTAACATTTGTACACGTTTTATTTGAATTAAATAAATTTTAACTACTAAAAACCACATATTTGATAAATTAACATATAGAACAAAATATCTTACAAAACTGGATAAGATAACCGTGTCTATGGGTAAAATATGTTAAACATTATAGTCAAATTAAAACACATGTTTTTTTATCGAACGTTCAAATACCAAATGATCATGAGAAACAACAATCTACAAAATAATTTTAATAATTTATAAAACTGTAATTGTAAAGCGTAATCATTTATTCAACATATCCACAACTTATTCTATACAAATCTTCGGAAAACTATTTGGTCAGACGCCTCGGCTGTACTTTAAAAAACATATCGACAATATATTTATAATAATATATCGTTAAACGATATGTCATGTAAATTTGCATTTCATTTTTTTTATATGTTCAGACATGGTGACATGAAACAAATAATTCGTAAGTACGGCCCTTACGTGGAACCCGACGCCCGTTTACTGTTCGCTCAGATTGTTGCGGCTATCGAGTATCTCCATGGACAAGACATAGCACACAGGGACCTTAAACCGGAAAACGTGTTACTCAACCATCGAAATCAAGTGAAAGTTTCCGATTTCGGATTAGCCGATTATTTTCGAGATCCGATCAGTAACAGGCGAATACTGTCGTACTCTCGTTGTGGCACGAAGACGTTCATGCCGCCCGAGGTATTGAAGTCCACCAGCCGCGGATACAACGCAATGTTCTTTGACATTTGGTCTTTAGGTGATACTCTATTGTATAATGTAAAACACAACATCATTTATTCCGAAATGTGTGAAACAATATTTAAAAAGAATTATAATTTTCGCTTAATAATAATGAATACAATAACGAATTCGAAATTTTACACCGTAGTTGAAATATTTTTATTTGCTCATTCCAATAAGTCTAAAAGTAGCAAATCAAAGTACGTTTTAAATCCGAGAAATTAACTTATTAGGTTTGGATATCAACAAAGATAAATCCTATTCGTAAATGGTTCTGAGTAAAACTCCATTTAAGTTCTCTATGTGTCTATTTTTTTCATATAAATCGATAGTTGCAAGTTAGCGATGACAAATTAGGAATCTTTATTGATTAATAGATATTCTGAGTCATTCAATTTTTTAAAACTATAGTTACGATATTTCTAATTGGTTATTTCAAATGATGAGGAACGTTTGTTTAAAACTTTTTAAAATTAATTACGAAAAATGTGTGTTAGGTGTATATTAATTACGTGTTCCCAGGAGGTGTCTTACATTACATGTTGACCGGTAAGATACCATTCGACGGTCGTACTACTAAAGTGATGCTCGCACAACAAACATCAGGTGACATCGTCCTTTCTCGGTCTGAATACGAAAAAACGGTTTCTGATCATGCCAAGCGACTCATATGGCTTATGCTCGAACCAGACATACTTAAACGAGCTCGCATATCTGTCATCAAACAATCGGAGTGGATGACCAGTGACAGTCATACGTTTCCAGCTAAGTATTGACTAAAGTTAAAAAAATGATTTTTTTTAAAAACTTTTAAACAACAAGTGCGATTTAACCTAATAATTCGACTGGTTTAAATAACTGTCACTGTCGTCATGAAACTTTTTCAGGTTGACCAGAAACTTCTAAAATCTTTTTTTTTAAACTTTTAAACTTCGTCGACTAGTTTATTTACTGCTTGATTTAACAATTCGAACAGTTAAAGTCTACAACTATTGCTATCATTTAGCAATAGTTGTTGTTAACTTGTTTTTCTAATCTGAAAAACAATTAACCAAACAGTATATTTGTATATGTATGTATGTATGTACTCGTATGTATGTATGTATGTATGTATGTATGTATGTATGTATGTATGTACGAGTATATGTGTATGTATGTATACATGTTACCGGCAATATGGATAATTCAGGTATTTTGCAAAATGCTAGGCATTATACAAATTGCCGACCCATTTTAGGCAAAGTAAATAAAACATATGATTTTCAATATTATTTTACATTTAACCTAGGTATTTTATAAAATACCTAAGCATTATGCAAAATGCCATTTTTTTAGGCAAAGTATAAAACATTTTATTATTTGTTATATTATATTAAGATTATAAAAATCTTAATATAAATATTAAATATATAAATATAAAAATTATTATACATTATTACTTATATTACAGACAAAATTTAATTTTTATCTATTATTATATTATTACTATTATATAAATATTTTACTTAAACGACTATTTACTTATTATAATTTGTTGTAGAAAAGTGACATTTTGAAGTACATAAAATTTTATTTTTAGACAAATACACTTTTTATTTTGACACTTGGACTTACAACACATTTTAAAAATCATTGGCCAATTCTTGTAAATTTAATTTTAATCAACTCATTACACTGTTCATCAGATAAAAAACAAGTATTAGTGGCCAAATTTTTAAAAAAAATTTGACTTCATATAAATCGTATGCATAGTTGCAACACCAAAACGAGACACGAAAATGACAAGAAAAATTATGATATTGTAATAAAATTATTAGTACGTTCAATATTATATATCAGAATTATTATTGTAGTAGTAAAAGAATATTAATCTTTATTGCGTTAAATCGTGAACGCACATTTATGTTAAATGACAAGTAAAGTTGTTAATAATAGACAATATCCAATTTTGTTTGTTTTCTTCATATTACCTACTCCACGATTAGCATTAAACCTAGTTATATGTATATTACCAATATATATTTTTGGCATTTTATTTAATGCCTACGAATTTTGCAAAATACCGGATTATCCATATTTCCGGTAACATATATAAATAAATAATTATTTATTAATTATACTTGTAAAATATAAATAACTACTACTATAATTTATCCAAAACCGTTAATGTTATTACTTAAGAACTAAAAATAACGCAAAAATTAATTTTATTCGTTACAAATAAAAAAAAATGAATTACTTAACTAAAAAAGAAGTATCAAAAATAAAATATATTTACTATGAATTAAAATATAAGTTAAAAATATCACCAAAATACATTGTTTTTCTGAAGGCATTAAATGTTTTTTTAATTTTTGTACTTCACTTTAAAATCTTATATTACAAATAGTGCAGATATAATTTTTTTAATATATGATATAATATATATAAACTTGACTATAACTAATTTTGTCTTGATATTTAAAATTCAGCTTATGAACTCCAGTTATTATTTTTTAACTACAAACTTCCATTCTTACACTGGTTTAACCCTTGACTAACTTGATTTAGTTGATTTCAATAACTTACCTACCCTTACCGCGGAGTATATACACGTATTTTATACGTGATATAATTCTCACGTTAAAGAAACGTTTACGTTATTACAAATATGTTATTTGTAATAACACCTAACCTACTCATAACGTAATTTATTCTTCATGATCTGTATTGCATTTTAACCACTATTATTTTATCAAAAACGTGTATGTTGTATCTATATAAAATGTAAATACATTTCTAAATATAATTCCAAACTGTTTGCTGTAATGTATAACAGTAATTTATTAAAGAAGAAGACAACTTAAGTCTTCAGTTATATTTATTATTAGTTTTTTTACAAATGAGACGTACGTATGTTTAAATTACGTTATAAATAATAAACAGAATAAATTATGTTTTTACTCATAATATGAACACAATGTTTTGTTTCGATTATGTTTGCAATAAGCAATATATGTATCAACATTTGCAATGCTAAAGGATACTGGAAAAATCAGTCTCTCCGATTATTGCATGCAATGGACCTGTTTAATGATCAAAATAATAATAATAATGGAAGCATCCTTTATGAATATTATAGTGGATACCAGTCGGTCGGTAGCGGTGTAAGTTTTCGGTAAGAAACGATTAAATGACATGCATAATATTATAGGTATATACCTAGACACGTTAATGTTGCATTATTTTAATAAAAAAAAAAAATAATAATATCCAAAACCTTTCCAACAGTCAAGGATGAACGTTTAATGAGTTAAAAAATATAATTAATTTTAAGAATATCACGTTACGAGTTCTATAACCTTTAAATCTGAGATTAATTTTTAATATAAAATCTAAATAAAAAATTAAAAATCTCAAACATTTAGTTAGATTAATAAGCGTAAAAGAGATCCTTTTTAATTACAAGTTTAGGTTTATTGTTATGCCATGGGAAATGGTTTTGCGATATATTTTACCTACTTATATATTTATTATTATTATTATTATTATTTTTTTTTTTTTTTTATGTAATTTTGATTAGTTTAATGATTTTTAAAGTATAATTTTTTATTTTTAATTTAGAAAATTATACAATCTGTTCACGTATGTACTAAATAAGCATAAAAATAAACATATGATAAACAAATTAATAAATAGAATATAAAAATAAACAATAGCATCAGTCAGGGACGTATTTAGACTTACTTCTGGGGGGGGGGGGCGACTCATATGTTTTCTTTAATTCAGGCTCAATATGTATAAGTAAAATTTTTGGTAATATTTATGTCAGGTGAATCCTTAATATTTGTGGTTTTTTTTTTTTTTTATTTAATCTTATGCTGGATTCACTTAGAATGGTCTTTTGTGTAGTTCTTTTTTAACATCTATCTGTGTTTTGAAAGTTTTGCTTGTGTTTTATTTAATTTTTCACTAAGTATGGACTGGGTCTTCAATCAAAATAATATATATTATTTATCGTTATGAGGCATATAAACGTTATAAGCAATTGAGCGTTTAACGCTATAAATAATTTAAACGTTATTCAATTTAAGCGTTTAAACGTTATACAAATTTAAACGTCTAAAAAAATTTCCGTTTACCGTTATTTATAATTAAAACTTTATGAAAAATGTAGCGTTTTGCGTTATTTAAATTAATGTAAAATTTGAAACGTCTTCAAATGTAATAATACTATCAAATAAATCATAATTTTTGTACTAGTAATACCCTTTACTTATATAAAAATTGTCTTGGTCTAAAAATTCTCGGGGGAGGACGATTGCCCCCATCGCCCCTCTCCCCTCAAATACGCCACTGGCATCAGTTACAAAGAATAATTAACATTTAAAAATAATTCCTTCTTATACATAATAAATGAAACTAGTATTATTTTACATGAATAATGCTCGAGTTAAAGAGGCCATCCAGCGACAATACTTCCACGGAAGTACCAATATCAATTATTTCTGAAAAAAATTTCAACGAAAAAACATATCGTACATACTTTCTTTGTAAACAAAATGTAAATTTCTAAATAAATTTAATCTATTCCACTGATGATCCTATTTTTAATTTTGAACAAGACTAAGAATCTGATCACACACATCCGTATTCTATAAATAAGACGTTATAGACATTAAAAAAATCACCAAGCACAACGAAAAATGTATAATTTGATAAAACTAGTTGTATTTTTCTTATTATGACTTATAGCATAAATTCCGTCAAAAATCATTTGTTCACAATAAATCATACTTTTTCGTTCATATAAACTTTTATTATGCAGATTATGACCATAATGAATGTTGTATAGTTTTATTTCAGAAACCAAATATTTTTATTACCTATATACTTTTTTAATACAATTTTTTGTATATATTATTTATGTTATATATTCCAAGTATTGAATATTAAAAGTAAAAATACATTAAATATTGTGAAAATAATTCACTTAAATTATAAATTTTAAAACTACTAAAAATAATGTTCTCAAAATGACCGACGAGTAATTTATTTTATATAATTTATTTTTTAAACACTTTAATTTTACACCATAAATGTTGTGCAAATTTACTGTACAAAAAATTCGGAGAACAGTATAATACATTTAAACTATCATGGAAAAAACCATTTAATTATTTATTGATATCCGAAAATTAACTAAAGTTATAGCCACTATCCACAATAATCAAACAACTTATCTATCGTAATGTCATCGTGTTATCTTAAAGCAATATTTCGTGAATCATAATATTACCGACAAAAAATATTAATAAGACGCATATTATCGAATAAAAAAAGTGTGCACTATCATTAATATCCGGCCTCAAATCAGTATTAAAAAATAAATATTTTCATCATTTTTTCTAGGCCAGTAAACAAATTAATTAATACACCAGCATGGTTATAAGTATCTTCTGAAATAAAGAACTATTCTTTTCAATTATTTTTTTCTTCAATGTAGTTCATCATTGAAAACGAACATTTTTCAGTACATGACTATTGGGTACATTAAAGTCGAACGACAAAATTAGAAATCAACATTATTTGCAGAGCTTAAATAGTTAAAACATCCATACCAAACTTTAATTGATAGATGCATTTTGATGATAGTAAATTACGATAAATTGTGTGCGTGAAATAAAAATATGTACTATACATCACTATTTGGATACATAGTTGGATATGAATTTCTGAAATCAAAACTATAGAAATTAAAATAGTATATTAAACTCGACAATAAATAAACCAACAA